ATTTATCTATGCACTTTAAAATGTGCACATTAAGATTTACTGGTATTACTGGTTTATTAAATACTTTTCTTCTTGTTCAATTTGATATTAGTGTGTTATTTATACAGTGTACAACACTGTGCCTGATTAGAGCTGCCACTGCAGCTGTGTTTTAGGACAATCAATCTCTCTTTAAATCTTAAACCACAAACAAAAATCAAAAAGAAAAAGAGGGCTGGACTCCAGAGTTTTTATATTAGACCTGGATATGATCCTCTATGCCTGCAGATTTGCTGCTTTTTGTTCTGTTTTAAAGTTTATGTAGATTATCAGGGTTCATCAGAAAACTTACTCCAAAACAAAGCAGAAGAACTTTACACTAATTCTGCTCAGTTCTGTTAATGCCACAACTGTAATTTCAACACTGGGTGACTGAAGGTGAAGTCAAGCGGCAGACCTGGGAGCACTGAACTTTCCAGTAATTGTTCTGTGCTCAGATCAGCTCTGGACAATATGTTAGCCATCTGCCGGCATCTGTGCTTTCTCCCACTAATAGACTGAACCCTAACACCCCTCCTTCTCCTTCCTCCCCTCCTACACTGGACCACCGCCGCCGCCTGGAGCTAACAGAGCTGCTAAGCAGGTCGCATGTCGTCTTTCAGCCATATTTGGGTCAGGCCTTTGGCAGTGGATGAGAGGAGGCGTAATGCACAGAGGCAATGGGTAATAATCCTCCCTCCAACAAATACACATATGCTGTATGTTGCCTGAACACAGATAAACATGTAGGTGAGTAAAGAGACATACACCTACTGTACTCATGTAACTTTCAGGAGACGTTGCCATTTTGCTAACAGGGTGTGAAACTGTACAATCCCAAATCAGGATTCAATTAAATTCCCAGAAAGGTGCAGAATACTTAAAATTCAATTTACAACATCCAAGATTGTAGACTGGCACAAAACAGAAGCCAACGGCAGCTTTAGCAGAGCATATGTTGCATGGAACATATGTCTGGAGCATATGTTTAATGCCAGAGGAAAGAGGGCTCAGACGTCAGGGATCACAGGTAGACAGGATCTAAAATACAGAGCCAAGAGACAGCTGACAGTGAATCAAAGCAGGAAAAAATGCTCCTAGTTCAACCAATTAAAAGTCTGAACTGTCCTGAGCTGTAAGGCCAAAAGCTTGCATCTAATATTTTGGGAAATGTATGTAAAACCGCACCCCCAAACTTCCATTAAGATAAGGACACGGCACATATAGCTTGGTGGCCTTGAACAGCTAGAAACGTGAACATTTAATACAAAAATGTTTAAAAAATGGAAAAATAAACTTTTTTATTAGGAATTCATTAAGAGAAAACTCAGGGTGTTGCATGTTTTTTTATGATATGTGAAGTTCTGGGGACTGAGGCGAAATGTGCGGGTATGAAATATGATCAAATTTCAAAAACGTTTCACAGTCATGGCAATTTCTACATTTGCGTCAAACTTCTGGCGGACATCTGACGGTAAATGGGATGAGGTCTGACATTTTCTGCTGCATTTTGGCTTCGCCACTCAGCTCCTGCCCTCAAAGAAACAGCACCTAATGAAGAAAACACCTGAATTCCAACTGGAAAAGCAAATTAGATGATGTGATGAATGGGTAGTTGGCAAAAAAAATATGTCTAATAAACATCAGAGGAACAGCAAACTCACGAAAACAAGACGCAACATGAGGGTGAGAAGCCTGATTGGCCACAAGAGGTCAAAGACTATTTTAACCCTAAAAGTGGTTGGGTGTTGGCCATCCTTGGTTTTCATCTTCATCTGCCACATTCATCACCATTTTCAAGACATCTACACCTCTACGTACAGTAGTCGTTTATTTAAAGCATTTCCAATTCAACAGTGAAAAGCGAGATACTTATTATATGATGTCTTGAGCGGTGACATATTTGCACTTTTCTCCTTCCTCTTTGCAATCACGATAATTGCTTTCACATATGACTCTTGGCGTCCTTTCCTGCACAGAAAACCGCTGGTGTGATTCTTATCTGAAAGTGCAGTCAGACGGGCGTCAGATATGACTTTCTGAAGCTGTGGCATTATGTAGCTGGAGCTGCACTGACTCTCAAAAGGAACCAATAAGGCAAGACTGTCTTCAGAACAGATGCCGCCTTCAAAAGGAGCTCGTGATGATGTGCAGATGCATGAGCAAACAAAGGTAAACCTTTAATGAATGAGGTACATTCTTCCATTACATGACAAGGGCTCCTTGAACAGTTTAGTGAAGACCATGTGAATCCTGCGTTATGGGACATTTGGAAGCGGCCTGTTTGACAACACTTATTTGCTGTTTAAAAGCAGTGGTGGAAGTAGTACTGAAGTACTTTTCTTCAAGTAAAAGTAGCAATAGACGGTGTGAAAATACTGTTACAAGTAAACATCCTGCATTTAAAGAGTTGCTTAAGTAAAAGTACAAAAGTATTCACCCTGCATTTAAAGAGTTGCTTAGTAAAAGTACAAAAGTATTAACAGAAAATATACTTAAAGTACCAAAAGTAAAAGTACTGATAAGGCAAAAGGGCACAGTTTAGGCTGGTGTACATCATACGTATTATTTGATTCTAATTATTGGTGTATTATTTTGCAATGTATGTCACATTTAATGTTGCAGCTGGTAAAGGCAGAGACCTGTATGCTTTAAAATTTCAATTACTGCTGGGTAGCTTGCAATTTTTTTTACACCACGGATAATACTGTATTTACTTTTTTAACCCGATTCTGAAAAATACAGGGTCACCAAAGTTATCCAAATAAATGCAGTGAGAACAAAGTACAACTTTTTTTTTTTCACTTTCTGCTACTTCATGCTACATTTCAGAGAAAAATAAAGTACAGATACCTCAAAATTGTACTTATGGACAGTCCTTGAGTAAATGGACTTCGTTTCTTTTCACCTCTGAGTCCTGTACAAATTGTGCTTGTTCAAAAGTTTCTACTCTTGAGAAAACTAACTGCTTTTCAAATGAATAGATAACACTATGAAAAACATTGCTGAAGCAAATTCCATGGGCTCCAGTATTTTCAGAAAGATCAGCTGATGAACTGACTGTTTTACATGTACAGTTATGCAGATATTCTCTGCAAAAACACTCTTGAATAACCTCCGTTTTGCTCACAGCCTTCTCTGTGCTTACATATCTGCATGCAGATGAAGTAGAAAAGAAGAAATAGTGAATGGGTGAGGCTGTGCATATCAAAAAACTCCAAGAAGTTCAAACCTGCAACTTTGTCCTCCTCCTTCCACCTCCACCTCCTCATTCTCCTCTTCTAAGCACATTCAAATGTGCAGGTTTGGTTTGGGGATAAAGTCTTCCACTTTGATCAGCGCTAATTAGACACCCTCTGCTTTTGTTCACTACCTATTAGGGTTGGGTAGGTTATCGTCGTCCTAATCTCTGGCCAGTAGCCAGGCGAGGGTGCTGCGCTCCTGAAGGAGTTGTCTAAGGTGAGGAGGAACCGTGATGAAAGGGCTGTCTCCTTTCAGCACAGATCAATACGCTCCTCTCCTTTGCCTATGGGGGATCAAGAGTTTGAAATACAAAGGAGGTTTTTGCATAAAGATCCAAACAATAGTTCACAAGACATTTTTTCCTCTCGCTCTCTTGCACTTTTTTCTGCCTTCCCTTCAGTTCCTTCTGCTGGGTGGAGGAGGAGTGGGGCGTGGGGCTACTTAATGAAGCTGGAAATTTAGATTTTAGTGCTTCAAAACAACCAAAACTACACTGTCTTCTTTTTGAGCATGCTGAGCCATTGCTTGCTATATGCTAAAATATGTTGCTCTGGCTGCTTGTATATAAGGCTTCATTTACAGAAGTAAGCAAATACCACTGCTCTGCCAGACGTGCACTGTATGTTTAGATAAACAAACTTATGGATTTTCTGATATTGTGTAATGCTCCTTTAATACTCCACACTATAGATGGAAGAATGTAATCCTCTGCTATTTGTTTCATACTTCATGCATAAGGAAAGCCTAAATAAGCACTTTAGTTTGTTTGGTCAGTTCAGCCTAAACAACCAATTAGGGATTTAAAGAAATATATAATCCACAGAGTATATAATGTCAGCAACCTAGTCTATTTATAAGGAAGTCAAACATGCCAGGGCACTTTGTTTAAATGCGCTTCATTGTTTGAAATGCACACTAGAGCAAATTTGACTGGGGTCGTTGAACCCTCGCTCATCCATCCCCATTTTCCAACTAAATCCATTTAAATTAAAACAAATGGACAAGTTTTGCTTGTTAGAATCCTGAGTTACATTTTGGCATCGAGTTTGATGGATTTCATACATTGCTGGCCTGACAGAAGTAAAGTAAGACGACATACAGTATTTTAAAACCTGTGCTAATCAATACTTGTAATACTTGTACATAAACAAATGGAAAAAATACATCTAATGTCAAAGGTGTCACTTGTAGCGTGGAACTGAGAGATAATTGTCACAAGTCTATGCTCTGCAGGGAGGTTTAGCATCTTTTAGTTTATTGTTTTGGTTTTATGGCCCACAACTTAAGTGTTGTGCATCAGTCTCACTGCTCTCATCAATTCGGTTTCTTGCCTCAACAGGCAGCTGTTTAACAAAAAGGCTGTAAAACACTACCTGTACCACACAGCAGACAGACAAAGTTAGCGTCTGTCTACCGATCAGATAAAAAAATAATAAATTGAGACTTTAAATTAGTTTGAACTCTAGAGAAACAACTCCAAATTACCGCTAATGTTGCTCTGTGTCTACTGACTGTCACATGGCAGCTGTATCAACTTTATGAAGTCAGTCTTGTGTTTACAGCTCACTGTGCTGCATTAAATTAATGCAGCTTTAAGATTTTCACTTCTACACCGTTGTACCTGTAAATGTGCTGAAGAATGTCTAATAACTAATATGGCATCAGTATTTTGTGTGGCTTAGGAATGTAATTGAAAGAAAAATAGAAAATAAGACGTACTGTATGCAGAGTTCACTTACGTGCAGCCTTTATTTTTCCTGTCAGTGGAATGCTCTTGTCACTTCCCTCCTTTCTACGCCATTATTACGTGACCCCCTTTTTGCAAGTAATTTTCCCTGGATTAGAAAAACAATCAAGACCAAGAGAGGAGGGGGGGGAAAGAGATTTGAGTGGAAATCTGTCCAGAAGTTGTTGCGTGTTGCGGCAGAAGAGAAGAAGGGACAATCTGCAGGGCCGGCGTATATTTCCCTCTCAAGTAATTCATTTATGTCTTCAAAAGTCTTTCAGAGCAGAGTTACTGTGCCTTTGTTGTGCTTTAAAAGCTTAGTCTCTATGAAGAGAAGCAATGAGAGCACTTTAGAAAAAGCTATAAAGGGAACGGACACACGGAAGAAGAAAGAAAAAGTGAATGGCACCACTGATAAAGTTGAGCAAATTAAGTCATTGACCTGCGGTGGAGATTAATAGCAAACAAGGTGCCCCAGCTTCACAAGTAATGAATATTCTTCAAACAGCATGGGGGGAGGGGGGCGGCAGATAGGGCCGGCATGATGCGGATGACATTGAAAGTTGCGGAGAACAGAAAAATTCTGTCATTTTTCATTTGTATGCAAATTTGCCTGTTACACAAATTAACCCCTAAACCCTGGTGTCAGTCCTCATCTAGGGTGGAAGCCGGCCCCCTGCTGGGACCCCGCGGCCACCAAACCCACCCACACTTCGCCTCTCAGGTCAGCAGCAGCTTCAAAGCCACTTCCAAAGGAAAAATATCCGATCAGTTTTGTCCAAAGTTTAACATGAGCAGTGCTGTAAAATTTGATCAAGGATTACAAGGTTGTTTTTAACTAATAGGTTACGGGTGGAGGACAATGACATTTTAAAAACACCAACTTAAGGCTGTGGGGATCAGGCATATACTGGTCTAACCAAATCACTACAGGTAAGATTCTTTTCCATCTTCTTCTGCAACACCTGGCTGGCATGAGTCAAGGCCGGCTGTGAGGAACGCACCTTAGCCAGAGCTGCTCATCGCTCCCTGTTGCTTTAAGACGAACCTCTGGGACAGGCAGCAAATCCGTCCTTCACTCTGCAGCTGTGGGAGTTCACAGCATCCCCCCTGCAGATGGAAATACCTGTCAGTTCAAGAGGGCAGAATAACACTGAGCAAAGTTCAAGCTTTATCAATGTAGTCTTAACATCTGGATACTGTAATGGCTGCCATGGCAAAGTACAGAATATTTGGTTGCTACCTGCTTTATTTAGTTTAGTACACTTAACTATCAATGTTATTAAATCAAACTTCATTGCATCTGCCTGTAGTAAAGCTCCACATGTGAAATTAAGCACAGTGACTGATTCAGGAGCTGCAGATGTACCGTCACATTTTATGAAAATACATTTGAATCCTTTTCATGGATGAAGCATATACTAGTAACATAGCCCTAATTATTAACTGAAAATGCCAAATGTCCACAGTCTGTTCTACGTAGAACTTCCTATTTGCCTGGATCCAGCTCACGGACTCTATTAAGGCTCCAAAATTCATCTCCAGTAGTGTCCATGTTATGTAAAGTTTTAATGAGATACAATATATAACGATATGCTTATATATCATCCACAGTGTGGTCCTTTCCAGAAAGTTTCATTCCACCTTGGATATTTTTATTTTCCTTTTTCAAATGAGGCAAAGTGATGCAGAGCCCTGCTCCCACATCTGTGTGTTTATCACAGTGTTGGTAAAGGTGCAGCTCTGTCCCTGTCCCTCTGTGGTGTCAGGAAGGAGGAGGTAGCCATAAACAAATTTCACCATCTGCGTAGGAAGGCGGCAGCCGTGCAGTGATTGACCCCTTTAATTGATGCGGCTTTAATTATGATAATCGCCTGCCAGAGTTGCTGTAGTTTCGCTTTCCCCAACACCCCCTGTCCCTTTTTTCAGCGGTATTTCATATCCTGGCATCCACGGGTGCAGGTGTTCTGCAGATGTTTGGTAACCTCCCCTTGATGCCATCCAATTTGTTAGCCGCTAATCAGCAGCCACCTTTGCCTTACTGCAGTGATACGTGCTGAAACTCTGAGCTGAATCTAAAGTTGATGTTACAGCAGGTTCAGGATCCATCTGTACTGAGCAACCACCTCCCAATTGAAATTCCATTTTGATATATGCACTTACATCGGTTCAATCAGAGCACCATTACCTAACATTTGTCACATCACATAACCAGAGGTATTTAAGTGCTTAGTTAACCAATTTATAAACCACACAGTTGTGTTTTAGAATTTCAAAGCATCTTTTCTACCACTCCAATGCATCTGTTGATATAGAAATCATTTCCTTAAAATATCAGCAAACACCAGCTGGAGTTGTGCAATCCATGGCTGTGACCATTAAGTCTACCTTAATTTCATTAGTTAAAACTCACATTCCCGACATATTTGTGCCGCTGTAAGTTTTTTGACATTCAAAGATCATCATACATGCACATTTATATTATGCACCACAACACTGGAGCTATTTGTGATAAAATTCCGATTCTTTACCAGCTAGATACTCCTTGTTTAAGAAATTTGAAACGGATGGTTTGTATTCCCCAAAGTGGATTCCATGCTTTGGAGTAAAATTCTTTCAATTCTGTTTACACTTAAACTTCTGCAGGAGAAAACCCCTCCCAAGGCCACAACACGGTGGCAACAGCAGTGAGTGAAATGGGTTTAGACAAACACACACACACACACAGACTGAGCGGCCACCAGTGGCTCTGCAGTAAGTTTCCCTTCAAAGGATCCCCTCAGGATAGACTGTGCACGAACATAATCCAAGGCCCCTTTGAAGTGCACACTTAAAATGTCTTTTGGCTCGGCTGCTACAAGTGGCATCTCAACCCTTTGGGTTATTGGAGAGGAGAAGCGCTCCTTGGCCGGCTCGAGGTGGAGAGGCAGGACCCCGGGCAGCCAAGAGGTATAAACGGTGCTCTCGTTTTCTGCCGGATAAAGCACGAGTACATTTTGGAGTGGATTTTAATAAATCCAGTGTGGCTTCGTCACACAGTGGAGTTTCACTCGTACACACGTTTCTCTGCAGGCGGAGCTGTTCTGAGGGCAGGAGAAGGTCTTATCTCACTGGTGAGGTTAAGCCCAGATAGGCGGCGTCCGAGATACACAGCTCTTAATGGAGGAGCAATATTAGACACACCACTTGAAAAGTCAAGAACTTAAAAAGGAGATCCATGATGGCTGTTAGCACTGTGCTACTGAACTAACCAGCGAGCCAGTCACATTCATACTGGACAATCCTGCAGGTCATTGGCTCCTCTGATACAACAGATCTCGGTTCCTACTTCAAGCTGCTAACAGTGACCTCTTTAAATCCACACCTGGGACTTTTCCTGAACCCTAAACCACTGTTAAACTATACAAGTTGCAGTTATGATGCATACAGTAGACGAAATCTGTGAAACTGCAGGTAGTGGACATTAACAAAATGTCACCGATAATACTGGATACACCCTTTACTGTGTCTATTTCTGTGATCCAGGCTTATACTCAACAACACAACTACAATTTTAAAGTAAAAATAAAAAGATTAATAAAACATAAGATTAAACGCAGTAATTCAGATTACACTGACGTTTGACGGTGAACCAATGCATTTTTACTGATGTTGACTACTGTAGTATTTGAGGCATCTATATGAGCCCTTGCCTTTGTGAACATATGTGTGTGTGTGCACGCTCACATCTTAAGACTCCTCTCAGTAAAGGCGAGTTTCCAGGAGGAAGCGAGTCGTGACCCTCAAGTCCATTATGGCAATGGAGAGACTGAAGAGAACGCCGCAGGCTGCAGAGATGATCAAGGAAGTCACTTTCATGCTCAGCTCTCAAAGAAAAAAAGAAAAAACACCAGGCAGGACGCAGGAAGAATGCTGAAGGAAAACACAGAGAAAGGAGTAATTTTGTGAGGAAGCAGGGGCCCCTGAGCTAGAGCCTCTCTTTACAGTAAGTTGTTCACTGTCAACAGTTCTTGTTGGAAAGGCAAAGAGCTTGTTCCGGATCCCTTCAATATTCAGCATCTACCAAGTCCAACAAGATATTTGTTTTTCCTATATACAGCTGCACAATGTGTTGCAGTAAGCTGACATTTAAATATGTTTGTTAAGAAAATGCAACCTCTGTTAATCTGCTGCCGCACACGTTTGGAGTCTGAAGTTCAGGTACAGTTTTTAATAATCAGCAGCACTCCAACAGCTATCACTGGAATGGATGGCGATGGCTGGGTCTACCTCAGACTTTAATTACATTGTCGCTTCATCCACATTGTTTTGTGAGCTTGCATGGTGGCTGCAAGACAAGTGGTGGTTAAATGGTTAATCTGTTTGCTAAAACAAGTGCACTTACTGTCAGAAATCATCTCTGCTTTGTATGTCATGTAGTAGCATAATATAGTGTTAGGTATGACAAAAATAAGTTAATACACAACAAAACCTCCACATCAGTGGCATAAAACAGTTCAGGCCTGTTGATAAATGTGAAGCATTTCAGGGCGTGATATTCCTTTAAGATGGTTCAAAACTGCACTGCATTATTTTGTAAGAATAGGTTTCTTTTTTATCACAATGGTGGACATCTTGATTTGGAACAGAGCTCATGATGACATGTTTTCTAAATCCCCTGCCCTCCCTCGACACAGTTTTCAGGAGAAGACTGCACGGAAGAAAGAAAGAAAGACAGTGTATGTGAGTGTGGTTGAGGCAGCCGGTGGGAGATTAGCAGAGTTTTCTGCGAATGATCCGCACCGACTGGCCAATCTGTTCAGCTGGGGCCTCGAATTCACGCAGACGGCGTGAGTAGTGACACCAACTGCTGCGACAGAGAGGGAAAGCAAGCAGGAAGTTCTATGGCACATCGCCCGTCATGTGACCGGTCCGCACTTGGTCCCCATCCAGCCATCTGTTTTTTTTTTCTGTCCTTCTCCATCTTTCCCTCCACTGCTTCCGCTGCTGTAGATCTGGTTCCTTCCCTCACTCAACACTCAAGGGTCACGTGAATTATAGGAATGATGCGTCCTCGTCTGGTTCAGCCAGGGATGGAAATAAAGAAAATAATCTTGTTGAATAAGAAATACTGATACTCAGGTTCATTTTTTAATAGTTTAGAAGGGGGACTCATTACTTCAGGTTCTCTCCCTCAACTACTACTAACAGCCGATGCTCTTAATTTGAAACTATTTATATTATGAAACCAGCTCCTTTTCTTCTAGGACAGTCATAAGGAAATAACTGATGCTGTGCCCTGCATTAAAAGTAATATTCATCTTTACAAAGGCAGTCCCTTGGAAAAACATATTGACGGGAAAACTAAAATGACTCATTAAAACAGAAAAGGCAGAAGTTCACTAACACCTGCTCAATCACAAGGCCTGGAGTCGTACAAGGCACTAATCCTGGCGGGTTCACCTCCCGCCTGTGAACTCTAATCTCCAATGCTTCTGACAGAAGCCGCCACATTCTGACACACCGAGTCTGTGTTCATTCAGTGACAAGCACTGTTAAAAGAAGACAGTGCCAGCTGCACAGAATCCATATGGAATATAAAAAAGTAAACGATTCAGCACAGATAACACTGTAAGACAACAAATATAATTGTGTTGCGATGTCAAGCCTCTTCGGGCAGCTTTCATATCCCGCATCATTTGCCTGCATCGCTTTGGAACAGAACTTGTTTCAAACGGCTGCCTTTCTCTCCAATATTGTGCTAATGCATTTAATTTAATGTTCGCAGACGCCGTAATTGGTATAATATTGCTCTATAATACATTGAAGGAAACCTTAGCATTAAGCACTAAATTGAAATTTTGAAGCGAATGCTGAAAATTACTGTGGGGGCAAAGAAACCCCATTAAATGTAATTTGTTCTGCATGGCTGTGGGGGTAATGGTTACCGAGACACTCCTTTATTAAGTCGAATAGGTAGTGAGGTAGCTTCGAATTTGCTCTCTCTCACTCACACACGCACACAGGCGTTATGCTGTCGACACACTGTTAGTGGAGGTATTCAGCAAGGTGTAAGCTGTCGAATGCTGTTATTCCAGCCACAAAGGGAACGTTTAGCAGCCACTGGAGGGCTGCTGAACACACACATTAGACACAGTGCACACACACACAGTTTTATCTTGTCCTGAAATACCACCTCTACATCCAAGCTGAGGCTCAAACAGACTGCAAAAAAGAGGAAGAGGGTGGGGGGAGGACAAAGAGAAGTACCAGCACCCAAAGGAAAAAAAAAGACTTCATATACAGAGGAAGAGGACAGAGAGGAAAGGAGAAGGCAAGGATCAGAACGAGAGAGAAAATGAAAAAGCCCATTAAGAAAGAGAAAGAGGAGGAGAGGAAGTCAAGAAGAGGAAGAAGAAGATGAGGGAGTAAGAGGAACATGAGGAGGAAAGAGAAATAGAAAATGAATAGGTAAGATGAGGAGGATGGTAAGGAAAAATGGAGGAAGATGACGTAAGGAGGAGGAAAAAGGTGGGTAGACAGGAAGAAAGAGGAGAAAGAGGGAAGAGAAGAAGATAAGGATGGAGAAAAGGGGACCTGGAAAGAAGAAAAACAAGAAGAATGAGGAAAGAGGGAGAAAATCAGAAGGAGTATAAAGAAAAAGAGGACAGATGAAAGAAGAAGAAAGATGAGGGTGAGGAGGAAGAAAGTAAATGGAAGAGTTGTTGGAGAAAGAGCATAAGGAGGAAGAAAGGAGAGGACACAGGACAAAAAGGAAGGTGGAGGAAACAGAGCAAGAGGGTCAGAATGGTAGACTAATATGAGGAGGGAGAAGGTGAAGAGGCAGAAGAGGAGGAGGCCCCAGCGGAGGATGGAAGATCAAACACAGACTCTAAGTCAAACTCCACTGAGAGATCCTAAACCTCCTTTGTAATTGGAATTTTAAAAGTTAATACAAAGACGCTCCTCCAGTAAGATGTCTTTAGCAGATAGATGAAAACACAAACATGTCCTTCCAGTGATGTTTAAAGCTTTCATTTCCCTTCAAGCAGGAAAATTAAAGGAGTTTTTTCTCCTTTGGTGGAAGAATTGTTAAAATGTTTTAAGAACCAAAAACAAGAAGTCAGAGGTTGAATTTCAGACTATTGAGGAACGTGACGGACAAATTCATTTGTCCATCACAACATATATTTACACTGTTTATGCTGCACTGCTTGTGGCAAACAGCTCCATTCTTAAATACTGCTAAAGAAATAGCTCATCCTTTTCCTTTTTTTGAACTTTCTGGCAAACTGACACACATACAGTAGAATCTAGGTCTAGTGGGAGCACTAGGCTGTTGGCCAACTGGTTTTGGCTTCTATACAAGCATGATGTCACCAAACCTGGCAACCTCCCTGTGACAACCAGATTTACACCTGGCTGTTGTGGGCTGAAAAAATCTAAGTATAAGAGTTGAGCCAAAGTGCAGTGTGTGGCACAATAGGTCCAAGAATTCCACGCCTCAGTCAGGAGAGAGGGGGAGTATTACCTTCAGCTTGTACACAAATAACAGATCAATTGTTTTATCATCACTGGAAGAGAAAAAACAATTCACCATGACTTCATTCAGTGTTTGACTAAATATATGTCAAATTATTAAAGATGCCCTGCACAATAACAGCCGTATTTCATAACATCATGTCAGGAAGGCAGTGGGTGTCGGTGTGCAGCACTGGGAGCTGAAGAGTTTTGCTCAGTGGAGGAACAGATGGGAGAAACTCGCCAGGGGAGGGTGAATTCCGGTCAAAAAGAAGGTGATAGCAGAACGTGACCGCCAACATGTCCGCCACATACTTCTCCCTCTCTGTGTCTGCAGCTTTTCTCCCATTACACATCTCTAATTTGTCTCTCCACCTGTCTGCTTCTCCATCTTTGTCTTTTGCCTCATCACAACTTCCCCCTCCAGTATCATTCCTCATCTTTCTCTAGTGGTTTATGGTGATTTCAGTCATCAAGTCGCAAACACCCAGGTCTGTGGAGCTCTTACTCTTGTTCATATGTGATGGGGGGGGAGAGATATAGCGAGGGAGGCCGAATAAGCTGTCAACCCCCTATGTTAACCACACAGATCTTGAAAAGTAACATGGCAAATATATATAGACTGTATAAATGTGTTTGTGAGGGATATTTGGCTCAGGGATACTTTCAATATTTGCACAGGCCTTTTATGCAAGTGTGCAGTTGACCAGAATGTGTATTTTTCCATATGAAACTATATGAGTTTTTCATTTTTTGTTCATTTCTGATGAAGTTGGCCGGATTCCAAACTCCAGAAAGTTAGATTTCCAAGGCCTTTTTTTTCCCTCATTTGCTTATGAGCCTTTTTAGCGGCTCCTGGCCAAAAAACACACTAAATCCCCCCAAAAGCAGCGGTAACTCTGGGCGATTAGGAGTCAATGTAGACCCGAGGCGTGACTTTCTCACCCGGTGAGCGTGTGGAAGGCGGATCATTAGGAGTGAAAAACTGAACAGGGAAACTTTGAAGCAGTTCAACATTTAAATGACTGTAGAAACTAAGCTCTTCACAAGGAAGGAAAAGTTCAGTTGCTCACCATCTGACTTGTCTAAGAAACATCTGAGTTTTAGTCCAAGACATTTTCACCATTAAAATGAGTGACAGCGAGTCTCAATGAAATGATCACAGCATAAAATTAAACTTTACTACATTATTGTGCTTTTTAAAGGACAACAGGTAACAGAGTGACAGGCTGGAGCCTGCATCTTGGTGAAGAATGAACAAATTGCATGTGTGTCAGGTGGGCGTGTGCAAACAACAATGCACAACTTGAGATGTGTTTGAAGGCTT